CTTCCTTCCTTCCTTCCTTCCTTCCTTCCTTCCTTCCTTCCTTCCTTCCTTCCTTCCTTCCTTCCTTCCTTCCTCTCTCTCTCTCTCTTTCTTTCCAAGTTTTCTTCCACAAAATGACTAATATGGAAATGATTTACATGATTGAACATGTATAATTTATATCAGATTGTTTACCATCTCAGGGAGGGAGGGATACACTTTGGAACTCAAAACTTAAGAAAAAAAGTTAATTTAAAATTGTTTTTATATGTAATTGGGAAAAAATAAAATATTTTTAAAGGGGCCTGCATGTGTGGAAAGTGTCTGTGTTTTCATCAATGTGAGAAACCCCTGGCATGGGAGTTCACTTTACTAGTGCTGATCACAAGTCATCTTTGACATTGTTGGAAAGCCTTAGGGTGAACCCTCTTGAAGAGGTCGAGTGACTTAAGTAACCCTTCACTTCTGGCTCTAAATGATAGAAGCAAGGCCAAGTATGGTGTGAGAAGCCCTGCAACCCCCACCCCTCCTCAGGGATCCCCTAGACTGGCCCCTTAAGAAACCTTTCTGTTAAGTTACTCCACATCAAGTCATCTGGCTCTGCTTAGTTACATTGTAGACTTTTATTTTCTGAAAATAGAATATGCAAACAGAATATTTCATAACATCTTTTCAGCATGGACTCCTCTAGGCTAAATCCATATTTAAATACAATACAATTTGATATTGAATGTTCACTCTCCAAGTGCAGGGTTCAGTCATCTGGGGAAAGTAGCACCTGCTTCTTTTTCTTGGGAAGTGGGTTAAGACTGTCTCCTGGCCAAACTTTTCCTCTGCAAAGTCACACCACTGACCAGGAACAGTGTGTCAAGGATGATCCACATCACCCCCACCAGGGCACCCAAGGCAATGGGGGCAAGGCTGGCGATAAGGGCTGTCACTTTGCATAGAAGGGATAGGCTGGTCCCTATGGCGGGTGACAGATCCGAAGGGGATGGAGTCCTTCCTAGGGTGTAGGGCAGTGGCCCATGTCCTTTCTAGGGCCTGTCATTTGGGGTCTGTCACTGCTCTGGGAGGCAGGAGAAACACTTATGAGGGAAAGGACTACACAAAGCATTGTGACAGGCAAACACCACAGAACACTGTGATACAGCTGGTGGGTAACTCTCATGGAATAAAGCTTCCTTCTTCTTTGGCCTCAGCACAGGAGTCAGTGATAGGGGACCCAGAGTGGTCTAAAGCAGGGAACCTTCACTCAAGTGGGCTTCTGGCTCCCTGATGGATAGTGTATATCAAGTGACTAGGGCACAACATGGAAGTCCACCTTGAGGCTTGCTTCTCACTCTCTGAGCATGGATTCAAGAGCCCACTTTGTCAGAGATACTCCATTCATGGGCATGGTGAGGACAGCTATGCTCCAAGACCCATGGGAACCTACTGGCAACCTGGATGAGGCAGGCAGGCAAGACAGATCAGAGACAGGCTGTGATGTCAGGGCAAAGCCTGGGGTGGGGAGGTGGTGTTGGGAAAATTTCAACGCAACTTTTGCTGTGTGTGTGTATGTGCACGTGTGTATTACTAGTGATGTGCTCTGAAGGTCTGAAGGGGGTGGCAGGTGAGGGCCCTAACCCTTTCATAGTTGCTATGGCCTCAGGCTACTCCGTTATGGATGGACAGATCCTCTCCTTTGAACCAGGCAGAGTCTTACCCTTGCCCTGCTGGGTAAAGCCAACCCTCTTTCCAAAAGACTGATTATAGTACACACAAGCACATCCTCTGAGAGGTCAATAATTTGTGCCCAGATGTTCATGGGAATGTGGGAAAGATAGCTCTAAACACTGCCCTCCCCAAATGCCCATCTGGGAAGGGATCCCCAACTGCAACAAGGTAGGGGCAGTTAAGTCTATGAGAAGAGGTTTGGAAATTCTGCAGAGGAGTGAGTTCCCCTATTAGACATAGTACTCAATTCATCACTGAAATCTAGCCCAGTTCTTTGAAGGTTGAAATGGGACTGAGTGGGTCTACACTGCTCATGTGATCAGCCATTCCATCTTATTTTTACACAGTTGCAGAGGATGACTGTGGTCTTTAATGAGTGAATGACAAAAAACATGCTGCCTGGACCTGGGCAGTGATGGCCTGAGCAGCTTGAAAGTATCTACCGTACAAGCAACATTAAGCTGGTCTAGACACACAGCACAGGGTCACGGGACAGTTGGATGTTAATTAAAGTGGGTCCTTATCAAAGCTGTTCTGAAACCTCGAAGTTTAGTGTCACTGGGACAATGAGCGCAGGACTGACTTCGTGGAGCCACAAGGCAATGGACTGACGCCAGCAGGCTTTCTCGGGCTGCTAGGACTGTGACTGTCATCGTCGTTTGGTGAAAGACACATCGAACACCAGAAAACAGCGAATGAAGCCACCCAACAGGAGTCATGCTGGAGATGGCCAACAAAGCCCCCTGGGCGCGACAGACAGATTTGACCGGCCCCTCATCCTCTCCTGGGAAGGACTGGCGGGGAGGGGCCACTGAGGGCCACAGCCGAAACGCAGCCTTAGCCCTGGAAGCCGGATCTAGAGGCAGCATCGTTCTCATGTACGGGTCGCTGTTTAGAAAGTCCAGGACTTTTGTCACTTTGGATTAGGGTCAGGGTTGAAGAGCGGAGGAGTGAGGGAGAACGTGGGCTGAACTCAGCTCGGCTATGAAAGGAATCGGGAGGCCACGCCTCCCCGGTGAGTGTGGGGGGGACAGACGAACGACGGGCCTGGCTCTCGGGAGGGCGGCTGGCCTTTAAGATCCCGGCCGCGTCTTCACAAGCTCCAGTCTCATTCTCGTGTAGCTCCACTGCCGGCCGCTGACCACTGTCCCCACTTCTCCCGCCCCTTTCTCTTCTTCTCAAGAATGTGGTCGGAAAGAGCCGAGGGAGCCCAGTGCAGCCGCGAGAAGGCGGCACCGCCCAGCCGAGCAAAGAGCGATAGGCGGGGCCCAGACCCCCCTCCCCAGCCCTGCTTGCCCCACGCGTCACACAGTCGTTTCGTTCCTCCACGGGCCCGTTTTGATGTTTCCCGTGCTATCGGGGCCGTACACCATGGCTTCCTCCAGGTTCCCCGTGGGCAGCCCGTTGTGGTCGGCTGTGTTACACGGCAACACCTGTGTCCGCGGGTGCATTTGGAAGTGAGCTGCGTGGGGCCCAACCTCCCCCTCGGACATCTGGGCGCAGCTGCAGATGACCGTGCTGGCGTCGCTGCTTTCGGGCTGGTTGATGGTGGGGAAGGGGTCGCCCTGGCCACAGCAGGACCGGCGGTGCCCAGGCTGGCCCTCGTGGGCGCTCTGGGGACTGTCCGTATGCGAGCTGTGGATGCTGCCGCCGTCCAGGCTGGACGGGATGTGGTAGGCGTATTCTCTCTCTGCCGCCGCAGCCCGGTGCCGGCTGAAGTAGCGGGACTTGACTCGGCCCTTCAGACACCTGTGCAGGTGGGTGCTGGACCGGAAGGCGTCCTCTCCGTGCACGTGGACGTGGGCCTCGTCTTCCATCAGCTGTTCGCAGTGCATTTTGGCGCAGCAGGGGGTGACCGGGGATAAGCAGTTGACGTGGTTCTGGGCCGCGTGCAGGTTGGTCAGTTTGCAGTGGCCGACCGCGGCGTGACTGAAGCCTCCGGCTTTGCTCAGACACGGGGAGTCCTGGAGACAGGCGGTGTGGATCTGGGCATCCCCGTTGGCATTCACCTGAGCGCGGGCGTGGACCTGCATGGCGTAGGTGTTTCTCCGGGAAGGGCAGCAGGACCACCAGCAGTGCCAGACATCATCTCGCTTGGCACAGTGGTGAATGAGAATGAAGAGCCCCAAGGTCACGCAGAAGGCTCCGTAGAGGCAGCTGAAGATCATGTCCAAGAAGGGGCCCTGCGACACAGCGAGGGCCCCGAAGGTCCAGGTGGCCAGGAAGAGGAAGAGGGTGAAGGCCGCTGCCCGGAGCTGAGCCTTAAAGGAATGCTCGTTCTCCAGGCGGGAGGCGGAGATCATGGAGCAGGCTGCCGCGGGGCCGGCTCCAGGGTCCCCCAGGTGACCGCGGCTGGCCTCCGGGGCCGTCAGTCTCTGCTGCTCTTCTCTCCTCTCCTTGAGCTCATATTTGCGCTCCGGATGGCGCCTCAGCTGGACGTAGGTGCAGAGAAAATAAACACAGGTCACCAGCACAATGAAGGCCACTGGCCCATAAAAGGCCCCCAGGCTTGGCTCCCAGGCCATCCAGCAGCTGCAGAGGAGGGAGGTAGAGTTAGGATGTCCATAAGAAAACCGGAGAAAACCCGACAAATCTGCCGCCCCCACCCATGTGCTGTAGGATCGATGACTCAGAACAGCCACAAGACAGCTACTGGGTGGAACATGAGTATAGTAAGGAAAAAAAAAATCAGACTCTGCCTTGAGACATCCTAGTCAGCCATCAGTTCTCATTCCATGGTCACAGACTCAGGGACAATTCAGTGTTTGGTCTGATGGTAACTGAGGATTGAGTGTGGGAGAAGGGACAGAAGTACTTCAAAGCAGCGCCCCTCCCCTCCCCCCAACCCCCAGCAGGAAATGCTGCTAATTCAGGCCTGTTCACATAGGCAGGGAGTGCTCGCAGTCAGCTCCTGCACGAAGCCAAAGAAAGGGCCCTGCCTGCCTGGCTTCGCTTCGGGACCTACTTTCCACATACTGTAGTTGTCACTTATGAAGAACAAATATCTTAAGGGGAAGCACTTTCCTGGGGTCATTCTCTGCCTTTGGGGTGATCACTACCCCAACAGAGGACTTGGGGAGCACCGAGAATTCATTGCCACCACTGCCCTGCATAGACACAACTGAACTCTCTGGACTCTGAGGAGCAGGAGGACGAGGAAAAAGAGGGGCAGGTAGGTGGGAGAGGGATGGAGAGGGATGGAGAGGGAGGGAAGGGGAGGAGATGGAAGAGAAAGGAAGGGGGAGAGGGAGGAGGGGGAGGAGGGGAGAGGGAAAGGGGGAAGTAGAGGGGGAGGGGAGGAAGAGGGAGGGGGGAGAGGGAAAGGAAGTGTGAAGGGGAGAAGCAGGAAGAACAGGAGGAGAAAGAGAGAAAGGAGGGGGAGGGGGAGGGCCAAAGGAGTGAGGAGAAGGGCAAACTTCTTCCCGACTATAAGTACAGAGCATTCCCGAGGCAGTCTCATCACATAAATCATGGAGGGGACTCCAGACATAGAATAGCAGAGAAGAGGGCAAGGGACTCGTCCAAAGTCACACAGTCATGGATGCCAGTAATGGATCTCTGGCCTCCCGAATGCTCACCCACACTCTTGGCTGCCTCAGGCTCTGTATCAGTGTTTGATGCCAGGAGGCTGGAATGAGATGCCCCGAAGATGCCCACCTTGTCAGGATGTAAAGCATTCTCATTCCGTAGGGTATGGGTCTCGGCACGTGGTGGCATCTTCCACTGTGGCCAAATGCTTGGAGCTTGTGCTAGTGTCCCGCTGGGGAATTCTGTGTCCAAGCTGGCTGTGGTCCTAGACCCACAGAGTGATCAGTCTATTCTGGCCCTGCTCCAGGCCGAGTCAGTGTGACTATCCAGAGGACTGGTAAACCCAGATCAAGTCCTCGGAGAATTCACCACAGCCCCAACACCACCCAGTGCAAGCTTCTGGATCCACGTTTGTGCTGTCACAAGGGCTGCTTGGAAATGATATGCTTCGATGTCCGTCCATCGTATTCTCTCTTCCTTTATCATGGATCCTTCCAGTCACTTAGCAAGAATGATTGAAATCCAGCCTGACCCTGAGCAAGTCCCTTAGCCCATCTTCCTTGGGCTATTGATGAGCTGGGAAGCAAGCAAGCAAGCAGGAGTAACCCGAAGTAAGGCCTTCAGCCCATGCTGTGTGAGGCTCATGGGAAGGATTAAGCACATTTAGCTTTTAGAAGAAAAGATTTGGGGGGGCAGGGTCAGGACAGCTGTGTTCACGGGCCATTCATGGGGCACTGCCCCCAATTGAGAGGCCAGTATCAGGAAAGGCGTCCCTGTGTGAAATCTATGCCCAAATTGGATGGATTGCTTGGGGTGGGGGAGGTGTTCCCCATCCCTAGAGCTAAGGCTGGGTGACCACTTCTTAGGTGTGGTGTAGATAGGGCTGTTTTATATTCAGGTCTACATTGGAATTGGTGCCTTTCAACTCAGAATGTGATGCTGAATTTGCAACAGGAAGAATTAATTTCTGCTGCACAAGACCACTCTGGCTTCTTTTAGCTTTATACAATTCACAATGAACTTATCATTGACTGAAACACACGAGTTTTTTTCCCTACATGAAATGCTGAATCAGGGCTCTACTAGTCTTTACTTGGGTAATTCATTTTTTGAACCTAGTCATGTTTTCACATTTGTTTCTGTTACATTTCACCTTGTTGTGTGGAGATCATTTTGAGCCCTGAGCCTGCCATGTTAGGGACCCTCCTAGCTTTGTGCTGCATTCAAGTCAGTTAAGTGTTTCTTTGGTCTCTGCCTTCAAGGCATCAGTGATCATGCACATCTGATGTCAGTTAGAAACCTGGAAAAATGGACCCAGAGGACTTTGGGTTCCATAGGGATGTCTGTGAGGTCCTATAACCCAGATTCAATGGATCAGCAACAGAAGCACAGGGCAGAGGTGGGATGGGGCTAGGATGCAGCTTTCCTGATGAACTAGCTCTTCTCGGTGACTGCACATTCACTGCTCCCAGCAGGGTGACAGCACATGAAAGGTGAGTGCCATCTTGGGCTACATAGAGAGCACTAGAAGAGGACGAGTCAGCCCCCATCCAGAGCCCCATTTGGGCTCAGTGCTGGGAGCCACACCTGCTAAGAGTGTTGGCAGAGGGGAGAGGCAAACACAAGGAGGGAAGTCTATGTTCTAGGAGAAGCACTTTGTCCAGAAAATGCGGTCCACAGAGTTTCCCTCTGACTTGCTGGTGTTCTCCAGAACATGCTGGGCATAGGAGGCCACCCATCAGAACTTTTTACACAACTGGCAATCTCCTTAAACTACACTCAGTTACATTTAACTATCTCCATGAGGATTCCCTAATTTTCCTTTCTTTGTCCTTCCATTTCCATTTGGCAGACCACACTGGAAGCCTGCTCTTGAATATAAGACAGATAGGATGTTGATTTCCTTGGTAATGATCTAAGACAATTGGGAGGAGGGATGTGACATGGAAAGAGACAAGCCCCATTTCTGCCTGGCTCTTCTGTGGCTCGCTCGTAATGCTGAGCCTAAAGCAGGGTCTTGCTGAACGCATGATGAATGGATACATGGACCATTAGCTACATAAACGTCAGTGGCTCAGCATCCCTTGGCCAATATGTGTTTGTGCCTGTGCACAGAGTAACAGTATAGATGGGATGGGAGGCCTCAGAGACATCCCCACACATCCATTTCTTGTTATCTGTTTAATTGGACATGATTCACGATGCCCGAAAGGTCAGTTGTTAAATTCTTTCCGTGCTAGTGGTCTGACCCTCTGTGCTCCTCCTGTTTTACTGATATTTATCTCACCCAGATCTTCCTCTCTGATGAATATCCCTGAGATTCTTCGAGGAGGGACTCCTTCCCACTGCCCACATGTCCGGATTTCCCTGTGCGGTTGCCATTTGCAGAACCTGTCTTTACCCCTCCCTTGCAGGACCTAGCTTTCCTAGGTTCGAGGTCTTCCACCTCTTGGCTTCTAGCCCCTGGTGTTGATGTATATTTTCTGAAATGTCTCTTGTTTCTTCTCCATGAACATCCCAAATGACTCCAGTCTCTAAAACTGTCCGAGAAGAGAATGGACTGCTTAGGATGATCCCTGAGAGGCCAATCTTCTTTGAAAACTGCAGGGATCCCCGAAGCCTTGCAGGGCATAAACTCCTGACTCTGCTATTCATGATCCACCAAAATGCAGATCTCCCATGACTCCCCTCCACAGAGCCCATGTCCTGTCAAATGAGGCTCTTTTCTGCCCCCTGTCCTTCTCCCATCCTCTCATCACTGTGCCTTTGCTCAGGCTGTAGCCCATGCCTGGAATGAACTTCCCTCAGCTTCTCTGTATGTTGAGAAGTATGTACGTATGTATGTATGTATGTATGTATGTATGTATGTATCCCTCCTTTCTTTCAAGAACCAACTCCAGTCTCTGTCCTTTGCAGAATCTGCCCTTGTGACCCACCCTCCCTGGGTGTGTCAGACACCATGTTCTGGTGAAAGGGGCTTCTCCATCTTTCCTCTTCTAGATGCCTCCCACCTGCAGAGTCTAGTCACTCATGGCTCTCTGTAACCCCAGGAGTGAGCTGGTAGCCTTGCATATAGGAAGCCCCTAATGAATAGTTGGTGCCTTGGAGTTATCTGCAGTCACCCAGAGGTCACCTGGTGGGTTTACTGGGGAGGGAATTCTTGCTGAAGGTGAGGGTTGGAAGAGATGACTTCTGAAGCCCCTGACGTCTCCGAGCTTCTAGGGTGCTAGCATTTATCTAACATGGGTGGGACACAGGGCCCCAAAAGACTTTTCCTGTGCTTCATTTTGTCATGGTGGAGCTGGACAGGTTTTGAGTACAGGTCTGGCAGCCAAATGAGCCTATCATCTAGGGAATCAGCCTGGCTGAACCTGGAGAGGCTCACCAGGCATGTCAGGCAGAGACTAAGCAACTCTTTGGCTGTGGTGACACACGGGTACATCGGATCCACACCCATGGATTGATGGCAAGATTGGCCCAGAATGGGAAGGATCCTCTGTCCTGGGTGTGTAATTTGGATTCTGAAATCAGGTGCATTCTAGACTAACCTGAATAATACTGCATTAACTGTGTGGGGCAAGTCAAAGACAGTTGTGATATGTGTCATGGCCATGCAAAGGTAGCGGTCATGTCTGTGAAGTGGGATGTGTGGGGTTGTGTCCTACAGGGAATGTGGGCTAGATATCCTCAGAATGCCTGTGTCCCTGGTATGGAGCCAGGTCACTCCCTGTATGGTGTGCCAAGAAGTTCAGAGGACTTTGAGAGGGAGTTGTGGGGAGAGAGTGTCCAACTTGTTGGCGGGAGTGCTGGATTAGGTTGGAAGGTGGCCATTTACTCATTCAGGCATTTGTGGGTGTTATTGAGACAAGGCTTCCTGTGGGCCTCTGCAGGACACTCATTGGTCCCAAGTGCTCCCAGAGGGCATCTACATGATAAATGGGACCATTAGTAGGATGCAAGTCAAGAGACTGGAGCTGATGAGAGGTGGCCATCTTCAGTTATTTCCCTTCCAGCTTGTCTAATGACCATCAGTCAACCCTCACAATGCCTTTGTGGGGGGCAAAAAACCAGCATGGAAGCATCAGTCCCAGGGAATGTGCCAAAGGGGCTCATGGGCTGATTCTAAGCCAAGCTTCAGTGTGTGTGTGTGTGTGTGTGTGTGTGAGAGAGAGAGAGAGAGCATGTGTATGTGTGCATGAGTGTGTTGTGCATGTATGTGTGTTTTGTATATGTGTGTTGTGTACATGAGTGTGTTGTGTATATATGTGTGTTGTGTACATGAGTGTGTTGTGTGTGTCGTGTGAGTGTCTGTGTTGCATGTATGACTGTGTTGTTTGCATGAATGTGTGTGAGTGTGTTGTGCATATATATGTATTGTGTACGTAAGCATGTCCTATGTATGCGGGCATGCATGCATGTACACAAGTGTGTGCATGTGTCGCATGTGATTACGCAATATACTGTGCTGTGTCATGTGTGTTATATGCATGATCATGCATGTGTGTTGTGTGTGAGTATGTTTGGCCACAGCAGGTTGTACGCATGCATGTGTATGTGTTGTGTGCATGAGTATGTATGTGTTGTACATGCATAGGTGCATAAGTATGTTATGTGTATGTGTATGTGTGTTGAGTGCATGAGTGTGTGTTCGTGCATGTAGCCCTGAGGATGGAACTTTGGCAGGGTTGTTGGATAACACCTGATGGCTCCCTGGAGCCAGGAAGGAGGCAGGACTCCAGGTTAGTGATCTCAATGCAACCGCTTTCCCTCTTGGGCTCTTCCTGTCCTATCCCTGCTGAGGGCATCTGTCTCCAGGGGAATCCAGAGTCCCATCCCATCCACAACGTGCTGGGGATGGCCTTACCTGGGCAACCCTGAGCACAGACAGGATCATTAACCGTTTACTCTAAGTCCCTCATCGAACAAGCGAGGACAATGAGGCGCAGAGAGAGTCAACACTTGGCCCAGGGTCACACAGCTAGTGAGTGTCTGAGAAAGATTTGAATTTGGGTCTTCCAGACTCTGGCCCCTGGGTCACCAGCATGGAGTTGAGATGGTCCCATGGACCAGCCTTTTTCTTTCAGACAAAATTGAAATGCTTCCGCTTCCCCAGGCACTAATTGTAGCACCTTCTCACTACAAACACCAAGAAGCTTCACCCCGGTGATGTCATACTTACTATAGGGCACCATCACTGTCTGGCCCATAATTTTTGATGTTGGTTGCAGCTGTAATTCCGCAAATAATCAAAGGGACGCCTCCGCTAATCAGGTAAAATCTGCCAAAAGAGAAAGGGTCACGTTTTACTTCCTGGGGGAGGGGGCAGCCTGGTGGTGTTCTCTGAGCATGTCTATAGAGATCTTTTCCAATAAGCTCTTTGTAGGGGCTACACATGATGCCATATGGTTTACTGTGGCCTCCTTAGGAGTGGTGGCCCCAAGGGTTCCATGCAACCTACAGAGCAAGGGGATAGTGAATGAGGGGAGGGCTCGGGGGAGGAAGCTTTTCTAGGAGCACCACTTGTTCCTCTAGAGGACACAGAACATCAGGAAAGGATCCCAAGGGTTTGTGGAGGGGAAGGTCCCAAGGGTATGGGCATGTGGGTCAGGGTGCTCACATGTATGTATACCTGTGTGTGTGAATGGACAGTGCTCAAAGAGGATAATGTGTGCACTTTAAAATGCCGCAGAAGCACTGGATGTTAACAGTATTTGTATAAAACTCCCAAGGAAATGCACATGATCTGAAAAAGACTGACTCCATGATAGTAAAACTGAGTGTGCTGGGACCTGGGTCACAGACAGGGCTCCTGCAGACAGAGAATCAGCTCTGGTGTGATGGGAAAGCCTGTGAACATGGAGCTGAGAAGCCTGGATTCAGTCAAGTCCTGGCTGGGTCACTGGTGAGAGCATCATTCCACAGTCCTCTCCTCCATCTCCTTTCCCTCTGCCAAGGGGCTAATGACAAGTAGCAAAGGGAAACCTGAGATCTTTGGGTGAGCTTGAAGGCACCTGAGGGCACTCAGGTGAGATTCCTGAGCCCCTGGCAGTGATGCCCGAAGGACTGTGGAGAACAGAGGACATACACACTCCAGGCCCGAGGAAAGGACTCTGCAAGCTGCAGGTTTATCGGTCTGTACAAGAAAACCTCTTCAGCCCTGCCACTCATACAGTGGTCTTAACATCGGCTGACCTCTTGAGAGAGTTTTCAGAGTTAAAAGGCATTTTGTGGGCAATGGCTCATTGGATCCTCCCAATATTGGTGAGGTGAGATAGGCAGGATGAGTGATAGTTACATTCTACAGAAGGGCAAATTGAGACTTAGGTGCGGTGACAGGAATACACAGTTAGAATTCTGCAAAGGTAGGATTCAGAACCAGGCTCTCAGACCAGTGAGCAGGAGGCACCACAACACTCATCCGCTCCCATGGATTCAGTGACCATCTCTCCAAAGCACTTATTCAGCTCTTATCTGCTGACATCCAGTCTTACATCTCCTGTGGTGTTGGACATGGTGAGTTTAAGATGTCTACAGGACATCCAGATCAAGATGTCTGAAAGGCTGTGAGAGATGCAAGATTGGAGGTCAGCAGAGAGACTGGGGCAGGAAAGGCAGATATGAGAATCCTCAGGATAGATATGGTAATTAAATCCATAGAAACTGGTGAGATCACCAACTTAAGTAGGATAGAGAAGAAGAGGAGAGGACCCAGGACAGAACCCTGGGATTCGCCCAGAGGGTGTTATCTGGAGGATCCAGCAAAGGAGACAGAGGAGGAACAATCAGAGGAGTGATCTAGGAGAAGAACCGGGGGAGGGAGGGGGGGGGAGAGAGAGAGAGAGAGAGAGAGAGAGAGAGAGAGAGAGAGAGAGAGAGAGAGAGAGAGAGAGAGAGAGAGAGAGAGGTGATGTGAAAACCTAGAAAAAAGAGTGTATCCAGGAGGAAAGAGTGACCAGCAGTGCCCAAGGCTGCAGAAAGGTCAAGGAGAATGAGGATGGAGAAAAGCCCTTTGGATTTGGCAATTAGATCATTGATCACTTTGGAGAGAGCAGTTTCAGGGGGGTGATGGGGTTGGAAGCCAGATTTTAAAGGCTTAAGAAGAGAGTGGGAGGAGAGAAGAATCCTGGGCAAGTCTCCTCAGATCGAGGACTTTTAGGAGTCCCTTCAGATGGATCATGCTGTCATTATGAGTCCCAGAAAATATGCGAGGGTTAGTTTCTGTTACAAAGGGGAACTCTGTCCACTTAAGAATGACTTTCCCCCTTTCTCTGCTCAGGTGAATCTCATTGATAGCGTCATTCGTTGTGTGAGAACCTACTTCACAAGTGTATTTTCCAAAAGCTAATGCGAAAACAGGAAACCAAAGATAGTGTGTGATGTCATGGCACTGCTCCCTCAGGACAGTGACCTTTCCTCAGACAGAGGGGGCTACGCCACCCAGGAGAAGAGCAGGCATTCGCAGAGACCTGAATCCAATTTGCAAAGAAAGTCCTTGGGCTTTATTTGTCTCAGGTGGTTCTCCCACCACACTCTTGTGAGGAAGGCAGTAAAAATGTTACACTTCTTCTCTTACATGGTATGGCATAGTAGAAGGAGGGGAGGGCTTCATTTTTCAGGATGCTTGGGCCCAGAACACGAGTGATTGTCAGAAAAGAAAAAAAGATTCCTTTTCCCATAAGGCAGGGTACAGTTGCTGATTGGTGAGGGAGGACTCTGGAAAGATGGTGGTGTGCAGACCTCATGAGCTCAATTATTTTAGGAAGGACACCAATGATCGTGAGATTGTCTGGAGGAGGGTGATCCAGATGGCAAGGGGCTTGGAGACTCCAACACAAGAGGAGGGTTTGGAGGAACTGGGAACACGGCCCAGAAGAGAGGACTTGGTAGGGCCCAGGGAAGGATGCCAACTTTCTGGAGCCCAAGGCCCCAGAAACTCTGGCAAGAGGAGGATAAATCAATGTTTGTTCAGTATTGTGGCTGAGGTAAACTTCTGTTGCTTTCTCATTCATTCACTCATTAATGAAGTCCTGTAGTATAAAGAGTTCACTTCAGATCCAGTGAGACCCCGGTTCAGATCCTGGCTCTGATATATACTAAGAGAGACCCTTGGCAGCTTTCAAAGGCTTAGCATGATGCCTGGTACATAGTAAGTGCTTAATAACAGTTTATTGATTGGTTGACTGACATTAGGGGAGGGACTTTCCTCATCTGGGAGTCCCCTAGACTCATTAAACTATGGACCCAGTCCCTGCCTTTTTCATGTATGTCCCCATAAAATGCTGCTCCTGGTTGGGGGCTTGAGATGTGGCAAGGGGTCAGGGTGAGCCAGTCAGGCAAGTGATTGACCTCTGGATACTGCACCCCCCCAATTCAAGTCTAAGTCTTAGAGGGTCTAGAGCTGGTCAAATAACAGATTGCCTAGAGATGAGGTAGCCGAGGCTCAGAGGTTGGAGTGACCGGCCAAAGCTACCTTTACTCATTCATTCACTCATTCTGGCAATCATCCGTTTATTCAATTAGTCAGTCAATCAGTCATTCACTCAGCATGCACGCCTACTATGTACGTGCAAGACATTAGGGACACATGCTAGGGACACAAAACCAAGCCCCAAACCACCCAGTTTTCACCCTCAAGGAGGCTGCCTTTTCCCAGAGTGATATGCTATTTACACACTTAAGTAAACACAAGGTAATTTGAGGAGAGAGAGACAGAGAGAGTGAGAGAGAACACCAACACTTCTGGGGAACCAGAAAGCAGAAGGCAGGGAAGAGTGCCACCCCCAGAGCCAGAAGAGCTGTGTCTGAATCTTTTATTTGCCTCTTATGACTTGTGTGATCTTGGACAGGTCACTTAGTCCAAGAGGGACCCCATCTGTAAACCGAGGGGGTGGGCTGCACATCCTCTGGGGGCCCTTCTGGCTTTCCATCTATGATGTTTTGATCCTTTATATACATATAAGCCTTTACGAATTATATACAAAACCAATGCAGGGCAAATCTAGGGTAGAGGAGAAACCTTAGCAGCCAGAAGAATCAGGAGGAACCTCATGGAGGAGGTGGCACTTGAGGTAAGCTTTTGAAGGGGTAGAGGGGAGGGGCCACCATGGTGGAATGTTGTATGTGAGGAACAGCCAGCAGGCTAGTTAGGATGTTAGAGGCCATGGAGGGGAATAAGCCTGGGAAGTCAGGGTGAAGGGGTTGAAATGCCCCCAAGAGGGCTTTACCTTTGATCCTGGGGAGAAGGGAAGCTCAGTAGAGATTGATCCTTTAGGGAAATCCCTCTGGCAGCTGATTGGATGCTGGATTGGAAAGGGGAGAACCTGGGGGCAGGAAAAGTCCTGCACCTGTTCAGGTGTGAGGCTTGGAGACCTGCCCCAGGCTGTGTCTGGATGAAAGGGGAGGATGCCAGAGAGGCTGTGGAGCATGAAATGACAAATTTGGCAACAGACTGTTTATGTGGGATGAGTGTGAGTGAGGAGCTGAGGATGGACAAGCCCTTGACAGGGAGGGGAAGCAAGGGGAGGGTTTGGAGGGAAGAGCATGAGTTTTGGTTAGGACAGGTGGAGTTGGACACACCTGCAGGTCATCTAATCTAAAATGTCCAAGAGGCAGTTGGAGATTTAGGATGGAAACTCAGGAGGGAGTTAGAGCCAGGTGAGACAGAAGAGAGGAGGAAAGCCTGAGGAGAGAGAAGGGAGGAGGAAAGCCTGGGGAGAGCCAGGGGCTGTCAGGAGAACACAGAGAGGAGAGAATGTCCAGGAGGAGTAGGTCAAGGGCCAAGGAGGAGGGAGACCTAGAAGAGGCCACTGGCCACCATCATTGAGAGACCTCCAGTAACCTGGCAGTTAGAATGCCAGCTCGCTTGAGTGATGAAGGTGGAATTCAGGTGACCAGGACTCCCCTGGGAGGCAGGACCTGAGCTGAGCCATGGTGGAAGCTCAGGATTCTCCAGGGTGGAGTAGATGAATCAGAACAAAGAGGGCTTGAAGAGGGGGACTGGGAAGTCCAGAAAGGCCAGACTATGAAGGGCTTTAAAAGCTAAGCTGAATTTGGGCTTTATCTTGGAGGCACTAGGGAGCCATGGAAGGTCCTTGAGCAAGGAAGTGACATGGCCAGCTTTGGGAAGGTCATTCTGGTAGCTGTGTGGATGATGGATTAGAGAGTGAGACAATGGAAATGAGGACGCAAATGTGGAAGCTACTGCAATAGTTGATGAAGGTCTGATGTAGGGTGGTGGCTATTTGAGTTAGGGGGTTGGGAAGAGAAGGGAACATATAT